ATAGTGGGGGAATTTAACACCTCACTTACACCAATGGACAGATCATCCAGGCAGAAAATTAATAAGGAAATACAAGCTTTAAATGACACAAAAGAACAAATAGATTTAATTGATATTTATAGGATGTTCCATCCGAAAACAGCAGATTACACTTTCTTCTCAAGTGCACACAGAGCATTCTCCAGGATAGATCACATCATGGGTCACAAATCAAGCCTCAGTGAATTTAAGAAAATTGAAATCATATCAAGCATCTTTTCTGACCACAACACAATGAGATTACAGGTAAAAAACCGTGCAAAATGCAAATACATAGAGGCTAAACAATATGCTACTAAATAACCAAGACATCACTGAAGAAATCTAAGAGGAAATCAAAAAATACCTAGAGGCAAATGACAGTGGAAACATGACGATCCAAAACCTATGGGATGCAGCAAAAGCAGTTCTAATGGGGAAGTTTATAGCAATACAATCCTCCCTCAAGAAACAAGAAAAATTTCAAATAAAAAATCTAGGGCTTCCCTGGTGGCGCAGTGGTGGAGTCTGCCTGCCGAGGCAGAGGACGTGGGTTCGTGCCCTGGTCTGGAAGGATCCCGCGTGACGCGGGGCGGCTGGGCCCGTGAGCCATGGCCGCTGGGCCTGCGCGTCTGGAGCCTGTGCTCCGCGACGGGAGAGGCCACAGTGGTGAGAGGGCCACATACCAAAAAAAAAAAAAAAAAAAATCTAACTTTACACCTAAAGGAACTGGAGAAAGAAGAACAAAAAAACCTCAAGTTAGTAGAAGGAAAGAAATCACAAAGATCAGAGCAGGAATAAATGAAATAGAGACAAAGAAAACAATAGCAAAGATCAATAAAACTAAAAGTTGGTTCTTTGAGAAGATAAACAAAATTGATAAACCATTAGCCATACTCATCAAGAAAAAGAGGGAGAGGACTAAATCAGTAAAATTAGAAATGAAAAAGAAGTCAAAACAGACACCGCAGAAATACAAAGCATCCTAAGAGACTACTACAATAAACTCTATGCCAATAAAATGGACAACCTGGAAGAAATGGACAAATTCTTAGAAAAGTATAATCTTCCAAGAGTGAACCAGGAAGAAATAGAAAATATAAACAGACCAGTCACAAGTAATGAAATTGAAATTGTGATTAAAAATCTTCCAGCAAACAAAAGTCCAGGACCAGATGGCTTCACAGGTGAATTCTATCAAAGATGTAGAGAAGAGCTAACACCCATCCTTCTCAAACTCTTGCAAAAAATTGCAGAGGAAGGAACACTCCCAAACTCTTTCTATGAGGCCACCATCATCCTGATACCAAAATCAGACAAAGATATGACCAAAAAAAGAAAATTACACACCAATATCATTGATGAATATAGATGCAAAAATCCTCAATAAAATACTAGCAGACAGTATCCAACAACACTTTAAAAGGACCTACACCATGATCAAGTGGGATTTATCCCAGGAATGCAAGGCTTCTTCAATATATGCAAATTAATTAATGTCATACACCATATTAACAAATTGAAGAATAAAAACCATATGATCATCTCACTAGATGCAGAAAAAGCTTCTGACAAAATTCAACACCTATTTACGATAAAAACTCTCCAGAAAGTGGGCATAGAGTGAGCCTACCTCAACATAATAAAGGCCATATACGACAAACCCACAGCAAACATCATTCTCAATGGTGAAAAACTGAAAGCATTTCCTCTAGGATCAGGAACAATACAAGGATGTCCACTCTCGCCACTATTACTCACCATAGTTTTGGAAGTCCTACCCATGGCAATCAGAGAAGAAAAAGAAATAAAAGGAATACAAATTAGAAAAGAGGGAGTAAAACTGTCACTGTTTTCAGATGACATGATACTATACATAGAAAATCCTAAAGATCCCACTGGAAAACTACTAGAGCTAATCAATGAATTTGGTAAAGTTGCAGGATATAAAGTTAATGCACAGAAATCTCTTGCATTCCTATATATTAACAATGAAAAATTTAAAAGAATTTAAGAAACAATCACATTCACCATTACAACAAAAAGAATAAAATACCTAGGAATAAACCTATCTAAGGAGGTAAAAGGCATGTATTCAGAAAACTGTAACACTGATGAAAGAAATCAAAGATGACACAAACAGGTGGAGAGATATACCATGTTCTTGGATTGGAAGAATCAATATTGTGAAAATTTGACTGTACTACTAAAAGCAATCCACAGATTCAGTGCAATCCCTATCAAAATACCAATGGTATTTTTCACAGAAGTAGAACAAAAAATCTTACAATTTGTATGGAAACACAAAAGACCCCGAATAGCCAAAGTGATCTTGAGAAAAAAACTGGAGCTGGAGGAATCAAACTCCCTGATTTCAGACTATACTACAAAGCTACAGTAATCAAGACAATATGGTACTGGCACAAAAACAGAAATATAGATCAATGGAACTGCATAGAAATCCCAGAGATAAACCCACGCACCTATGGTCAACCTATCTCTGACAAAGGAGGCAAGGATATGCAATGGAGAAAGGGACAGTCTCTTCAATAAGTGGCACTGGGAAAACTGGACAGCTACATGTAAAACAATGAAATTAGAACACTTCACTAACACCATGCACAAAAATACACTCAAAATGGATTAAAACTTAAATGTAAGACCAGACACTATATAAAACTCTTAGAGGAAAACGTGGGAAGAACACTCTGACATAAATCACAGCAAGATCTTTTTTGACCCACCTCACAGAGTAATGGAAATAAAAACAAAAATAAACAAATGGGATATAATGAAACTTAAATTTTTTGCACTGCAAATGAAACTATAAACAAGACGAAAAGACAGCGCTCAGAATGGGAGAAAATATTTGCAAACAAATCAACAGACAAAGGATTAATCTCCAAAATATATAAACAGTTTATGCAGCTCAACATGAAAAAAATAAACAACCGAATCCAAAAATGGGTGGAAGACCTAAATAGACATTTCTCCAAATAAGACATACAGATGGCCAAGAGGCAATGAAAAGCTGCTCAACATCACTAATTATTAGAGAAATGCAAATCAAAGCTACAATGAGGTAACACCTCACACTAGTTAGAATGGACATCATCACAAAATCTACAAACAGTAAATGCTGGAGAGGGTGTGGAGAAAAGGGAACCCTCTTGCACTGTTGGTGGGAATGTAAATTGATACAGCCACTATGGAGAACAGTGTGGAGGTTCCTTAAAAAACTAAAAATAGAATTACTATATGACCCAGCAATCCTACTGCTGGGCATATACCCAGAGAAAACCATAATTCAAAAAGACACATGCACCCCAGTGTTCATTGCAGCACTATTTGTAATGGCCAGGTCATGGACGCACCTAAATGCCCATTGATAGACAAATGGATAAAGAAGATATGGTACGTATATACAATGGAATATTACTCAGCCATAAAAAGGAATGAAATTGGGTATTCTGTAGACACGTGGATGGACCTGCACACTGTCATACAGAGTGAAGTAAGTCAGAAAGAGAAAAACAAATATTGTATATTAACGAATATATGTGGAATCTAGAAAAATGGTACAGATAAAGAGTTTGCAATGCAGAAATAGAGACACAGATATAGAGAACAAATGTATGGACACCAAACGGGGAAAGTGGTGGGGGCGGTGGTGGGGTGAATTGGAAGATTGGGTTTGACATACATACACTAATATGTATAAAATAGGTAACTAATAAGAGCCTGATATATAGCACAGGGAACTCCACTGTACAGTAGAAAGTAACACAACATTGTAAAACAACTGTACGCCCCTGAAAAAATTATTCACGTTCATGTTACAAAATTACAACAGTATACAGGAGTGTAAAATAAAGAGTAAAAAGTCTTCCTTTACCACCCTCCTGCATATCCACTACCCAGAGGTAACTAGAGAAAGTTACATGTGTACTTTCCAGAAATTTTCAATTTATACTTTTATTTCTGTAGAATAATATATATAGTTCAAAGAATCACAAATGATATTTTACTGTGTAAATACATATATGGTATATAGTGTAAACATATACTATGTATATTTAATATATGTTGAAACTACAGAGTTCCATATCAACCTGCACATCAGTATTTACAGATGTCTAAGTTTTTTAACTGTTTTATAGTATCACATTGAATGAGTTTTTCCTAATATCTCAGTTGCTGGACACTTGTTTCTTATTCATCTTTTTAATATAATTACCAACAGTGCTACTGTAAAGATTTTCACTACTTGTGAAAAATAATTTTAGTTAAATCCTTTAAAATGGAATTGTTTAGTCAAAGGGTATATACACTTTTTATTATAAATATATGCCAAATTGCTCTTCAAGAAAGTTATGCCTCTACTAGTAGTACATAAAAGTGTCATTTTTCACACTCTATGTGACTTAGCTATTATCATACTTTAAAACCTTTGACATTCTGATGAGTGAAAAATGCTATCTTGTCATTTTAATTTGCTTATCCTAATTATATGTGACATTAATCATGTGCTTATTGGACTTTTTTTTCTATGAGCTTCATAGTCAATTCGTTTAGCCACTATTCTTCGGATTATTCATCTTTTCCGTGTCAATTTGTAAAACCTCATTATACTTGAGAGAATTTTGCCCTTTATCTCTTAAAAGTTTTGCAGATATTTTCTCAGAATTATTCTTTTTATTTGCGACATTGTTTACTGTATTTTTGTTATATGGTCAACATATTTTAAAATGAAAAAATACTGAACAAGTATTGGCTTTCCTATCCTTGACTCAAATTATTTTCTTTATAGCTTGAAAATATTATCTTATAAAGTGCTTAAACTATTAACATTTAGGACATATCAACAAAAACTTTATTTCAATTAACTAATTTATACAGTAAATTAAAATTTTCTTTTATTCTGATTCTACCTTTAAAACAACCACTAACTATATTTCATTTTCACATGTTATGCTATTTAGGAAAAATATTTCTATTTTCAGTGTTCTACGCAAGAGTTCTTCCTGATTGTCAAAACCCTGTATCACCTGAAGTCAGAATTTCAAGCACTAATACCTGCTGTTAATTCCCATGTTCAGTCAGAGTTGCTCCAGACATTTATTTCAGAAATTCCTGAACTCCTCAGTCCAGTGGAGCATTACTTAAAGATTCTCAATGAACAAGCTGCCAAGTAAGTAGCAGACCCTTAGTTCTTCCTTTCTAGCAGTGAAAGTAATGTATTTGCCATTTGATGTGTGGATACTTAAGTTTCTATAGAAGTAATGATAGAAGTTGCATGTAAAACTAGAAATGTGATCGGATACTAAAGGCTCTATATTACAGCTGGAAATAACACTTAGTGTTTAGGCAGTTCCGTCATACAGAACAAATGTGGTACTTCTCCAGGTATCAGGTGATGAAAAGGTAAAGTCCAGGCCGAGCAAGTAGTAGCAGTTTATTAATCCAAAAATAGATGGCAGATGGCATCTTGTGCTTATTTGCTAGATATCCAGAGATCCTCTGCTTTATATTCAGAAACTGTGGAAGGAAAGTTATCCTCCAAGGAGTAGTCGTTTTACAATTTATCCCACAAAGAACTCTATGTATAAGAAAAAAGATTTGACAGTATTTACATTAGTGTTTATTTTCTGAATATACAACATGAAATGTTGAATTTCATCTCTTGGTTTCACCATGGCAATCATGAACTTGCAAAACGAAAATAATGTTAGGGTAATTTTGTCTGTCTTCAAAGAAATTAAGAAACTCACCCATAAGTATTTAGTGGAAGAGCTGGAATTAAAATCTTGTTCTCCTGACTTCCTACCCTTTGGTCTTTCATTATGTTTTGAAAAATAATTGTTAATTGGTATAAGTAATATGCTTTAATATATGTATTTGCATTTTCTCATTTTTTTAGGATTGGGGATAAAACCGAATTATTCAAAGACCTTTCTCACTTCCCTTTAATAAAAAAGAGGAAGGACGAAATTCAGGAAGTTACTGACAAGATCCAAACACATTTGCAAGAAATACGAAAAATACTAAAAAATCCTTCTGCACAATATGTGACAGTATCAGGACAGGAGGTAGTATCAAACATACTTTTCTTTTACATTAGTTTTCCTCAATTGGAAAGGATATTTTAAAATGTAAATAAAAATCTGAGGATAGATGAAAGTATTATTGTTTTCTTTTTTTTTCAGATTTTCTGTTTTGTTTTCTTGGAAATATATTGTGATAGCTTGTTTTGATAAGAGTTTTCTTTTAATAACAGTATTTGGTTTGCTTATTTACTTCAGTCTCGGTAAAACCATGGAACTTAATGTTACATGTGTTTTAATATTATCTATTGAAATTGTAGAGAACCTTGACTGTTGTCAGTAATAACTTTCAAGACTTCATTTGCCCTAAACCCAGGAGAGAGAAGTTAGTCTTTGACTCCCGGCCTGCAGATGATGAAATGATACAAACCACCTAATGTAGCGAATAACCTACACTAATTGGATCACAAAGTGATTAAATGGCAGGGATTCCTTTTGAAGCAGTATAGCTGCTAAAAGAACTGAAAAAAAACTATAGCAAAAACCTACATTTAGTGGATCTTCCATAAGATTATGGCGCTGTCTAGAATGTGTTTTTTGGTATGTGTATTTCTGTTTAAAGTTTGATATTAGTATCTTAAAGAGAACCAGGAATAAGTACGCTTTTTAAAGTGTACTTATATCTGTCGGTCCTATTCTGAGTCTTGACGTGTTGCTACTTCTACATCTTATGTTTAATAAAATATAAAGATTCCAACTGAGGGAATCTGAAAAATTCTACTTTATTAAAATAGCAAATTAGGGAATTTGTGAATAATTTCTATAGGATGAACATTTTATTCAGAATTTTAAAAAATAGATATTTTTCTAGTGGGGAAAAGTGTAATTTCAAATGTTTTTAAAATATTTGCACTGCTTTATCTATTTAGCCAAAAGTGTTGATTTGTTTGATTACTTGAAATAAGAAATTCTACAGTAAATTATAATCTTGATTAAAATGTTTATTAACGTAACAGACCAGTGATTAAGTCAGCCTGTCTTCTAGACAAAATTAAGATATTATACTAAGGCAGACATTTCATAATGCATTCCACATAGAGCTCTATATAACAGAAAAATGACTTCACCCTACGTATACTTACTTCTCACTCTTCCCCTGAATAGGCAAATACCAAATACTTAATTGTATCTCTTGGTTTCACTATATAATTATGACCTTGCAAACTGACAAGTGATCTCAGTGCCACTGTTCTGTTCTATTTGTTGAAAATGAGATGATCAAAATTGCTTGGTACATTAATAAAAGATGTTTAGTAGAAAAGTGGTTACCTGGTATTACAGTGGGGAAAGCTGACATTTCTACCACTTACATGCTACATGACCATGGAAGAGTCACCTCTGTAGTGAGACTACTGTGAAGACCAATTGAGTTAAAATACATGAAAGTATTTTCTAATCGGAAAGCACTATGCACATATTATTCATATAATAATAATAATAGTAATATAGTTACCATTTGTCAAGCACTTGTTAATGTTCAGAATGGTGCTAAGTGCTTTGCATATATTATTAATCCTTGTAACAACACAAAAAGGGATTATTCCAGTTTTGCAGGAAAGAAAACTGAGACTTGGCATAGTATAGTGAGATAAGTTACCCAAGTTAGAAGCTCATTTCCAGCCCAGGTCTGCCTCCGATCTTTATACCATGTCGTTATTTCACTCAACTCACAAATATTAATACAAGGGATTATCAACATCATAGATTTTATTTGATGAAATCCAGACATTTGAGAGCTCATACTATTCAGACTTAAATAAAGCTCAAGGCTTTGGAAGACAGCCATGGATTCATTTGGCAGTTTTAAAGTAAAAATGGGGAACACTGATTAGGAATTCGTAAGGGATAGTAGATTAGTTATTTTGTATCAGTATAGCATTGACATTTAAGAAAAAGCACAGAGTGGAGATTAAGTAATTGGATTACAAAGGATTAACAAGGAAGATAAATTATCTTATTATTTTTAACCTTTACTAAGTTAAGGTGATAAGTTTGAGACAAGAAATTTCTTAGTTTTTAACAATAGGATGGATTCTTTTTGGTTGTTTTTTTTTTTTTAAACCTGTAGAATCTTAATACATCAATACAGAATCACTTTTATAACATTTTTTGGGAATTAGTGATTCTGTTCATTCGAACACCAAATGATAGTCAGCATTGTTATAATCAAATTCTGTTTAAATATTTGTACTGAAGTTATAAGCAAATTTAGAGATACTCAAAGGAATAAGAACAGACTCCATCAAATATGATTACCTCTGAGAAGTGAAGGAGGAAAGAAGGAAAACCCTTGTTTTATATATATGTGCTTCTTATTTTATACCCTTCGGCTCTGTCTGAAATTTTATTTCTATACATATAACTTTGTAATATATTTTTAAAAACCTGTTATAGCAGCCCTACGTGGTACCTGGATCTTGTTAATACTAGTAAAAATAGACTGTCAAGTCAGTGTTACTTTTGGCACCATTCATTTTTTTCACCTTTGTTCCCAGTTTTTACGCATTAGAATACTAAGCCTTATTGACTGTGGTGAATTATTGTGTCTGACTCTGAGAGTATTGGTTTAGAAAATAGTGAAAGAAAGAAAATCCTGGAAAGAAAATAATGAAAGCAGAAATTTACATAGCTTTACATAGTTAGTTCATTGCTTCTGTGGCAGTCTCTTTCATGTTTTATGTGTGGAGAGAATTGTTTCTTAACCTTGAATCAGATATGGAATAGGCATGGGGTGATATTTAGACTTGAGGCAGTATTAATTAGTAGTTTTCTTAAGGAAAAGGAAAGAAATATTAGTGGAAAATCTGTAGAAACAATTTTATTAATTCACAGCATGCAGCATATCCAAATATCTGCTTAGCATGTTTAAGATGTGGGAAGCAATCTGTTACATTTTACATCTAAATAAAAAATATTTGCAAACTCCTAAGACATAGTGGGAAAGAAAGTGGGGAGAATAGGAATGGGTGAAGTGTGGCCTTGGAGAAAACAAAGAGCAGTTTCTGGAGTGTGATAAGAGTTTCAGCAAACTTAACAATGATGCCAGTCCAGTGATTCCACGGGCTGTAGATTGAGTAACAGTATCTGACATTTAACCAGGACAGAACTGGATCCCAGCGGAAGAATATGAGGGTTTGTTACCATGAATCTGGACAGACTTCTAGCATCCACACCTGAGAAACACAGTCACGAACTATAGAGTGAGGGAAGTTGCTATGAGAACTCTCTAAGATTTCTGAAATATATGTTAATTTCCAATTTTTGTTAGTTTCCTTTTCTTTAGCAATAAAGTCTCTAAACAAAAGGCCTGTCTTCTCATTCTTAGAATGTTCATGAAATAGAAAATTTCCTATTCCATAGCTAGTGTAGAACAGACAAAAATTTGCTAGTTGAAGACAATTCTGAGGAGAAACACAGGCTGAAAAGATGACACACAGGACCAGCACCTGAGGAAGTGACCCCAGGGGTTTAACAAGCAGGAGGTCCACATAGCTTTCCTGATTCTCACTCTGTTTTCCATCCTGTATTGGCTCTATAAATGGCTTGCTTGAGGAGCTGTGGTCCTTAGAATAGACCCTGGATACTTACAGATTGAACAGTTATGGTCCAAACTATTCCCAAGGTGCTCCAAAGGGCTGTGACCAGTGGCAGTTGGTACTGAGTATAAGGCATGGATCTGAATCCAGAGCTGCCATGCTGCAGAGTTATGATGAATAACTTAAGTACACTATCCTAGCTGGCTGCCCAGAGACTTCACTGAGGCAGTTGTAGCTTCTTTTCAAATTTCCACCATCCTTAGGCAGTAATTCCTATTGAGCTCTGTGTTACACATGTCCTTCCCAAATATTAGTGATCTAACATGGTCCTGAATTTTGCTGTTTGCCTTTGACATAACTCCTCCCACAATTATTTTTTAAAAAGACCAATGTTTTCTCATAGAACATTTCAAAATAATATTTAAGCAGAATTTTTTAGCCTACTCTTAAAGTGATTTCTCATCAGTGATATTTATTTTGTGAATTTTTTTCCTTAGTCACTTTTTTTTTTTAGCCAAGGGGACTTTTAAAGACTCTTCACTCTTAACTCTTTAACGGGATATATCAGATTTGAAATTGTATTAATTCCCTGTATAAAAGAGGACATCATTAGTTACAAAATCTTTGCTAAGGATGAAAATTCTTAAAATTAACCATTAATTCCTATTATAATTAATGTAAAAGCTACAATGTTTCTATTAATAGAAAAGTAAACTGAAAAGCCAGGCTGATACTTTTTTTTTTTTTTTTGGCTGTGTCGGGTCTTAGTTGCAGTTGCAGCATGCGGGCTCTTTGTTGTGGTGCATGGGTTTCTCTCTAGTTTTGGAGCGTGGGTTTTCTCTCTCTAGTTGTGGCATGCGGGCTCCAGAGTGCATGAGCTCTGTAGTTTGCAGTGCGCAGGCTCTAGTTGAAGCACACGAGCTCAGTAGTTGTCGCGCACGGGCTTAGTTGCCCCGCGGCATGTGGGATCTTAGTTCCTTGAGCAGGGATCGAACCTGCATCCCCTGCATTAGAAGGCAAACTCTCCACCACTGGACCACCAGGGAAGTCCCAGGCTGATACTATTAATAATATGCCTATTATAAATACCTGAAATGTTGTAAAACATGTGACAAAGTTCCTGTAGCCATCTCAAAATTAGTGGCCGCCACAGAGCTTCTGGGTCCCATCCCATACAAAATAAGTGTATTTTTTATTTGTTTATTTATTTAAATAAAACATTAAATTTCATTGCAATAATACGGGAAAGTGAACAGGAAGAAGAGATGATATATAACTAGTGCTAAAAATGGAAGGTGTGATTGAAGTAGTGATTTCATTTACTTCCTGGATGATTTCAGAAGAGCTTGTAGAGTACAGTTGGATCTATAAAGATATGGTTCATATAAGTGAAAACTTAAAGAAGACACTCGTGAAGAAATCCCTTCCTCCCTTAATTGCTGAGGAAGTTAAGTGCTTTGTCTGAGTATACTTTTAGAGGACTTAGGTTTCTTGGATAAAAACTATTACGATGAATCCTCTTCTGTTCAGAATTAGGGACTGACCATATCTCAGACTGATATAACATCTAATAATCAAATATTTAAAAATTTTATGCACTTAGAAATTCAGTCTTATTACTGAGTAATAGAATTCTTAAGATAATTGGGTAGTAATAAATGAAAAAGGTCATTAAAGAAAAATCACCATTCGTAGTACGAACACAACAGTGTTACAAACATTAAAGCGCCAAGTTATATCCTTTATCACAAACTCTTTGCTGAATACAAATTGTACTTTATCCCAAGTATTGAAACCCTGATTAATAATATTTGGTTGTACAGACATATATGAACTCTCCCAATAACAATACTGGATTTATTTTGAATGTTTAGATTAATATTTGCTAGACTATTATAGCACAGGTTTCTTTTTTTGAATTACAATCATTACATTTATTTTCAGCTATTATAGAACAATTTTGAGGAAGATTTAAAAGATTTAAAAATATAATGGTTAATCATTTAAATATCTAACCTTTATTTGTATTTATTTTAGTTTATGATTGAGGTAAAGAATTCTGCTGTATCTTGTATACCAACTGATTGGGTTAAGGTTGGAAGGTAAGTTTAAAAATACATGTTTTTTCTTATTAACGTGAATTATGACATGTGTTTACCTGCATGCTTCTGGTATGTTAATAACCACATCCTTGACATTAAAAGCAATTTTGGCCCTTCAGTTTCTTTATGGAACTTTAACTAGATAAATAATTATCTTAAACTCTTTTTATCCTGGATTTTAAAACATTTTTTCCAAAGGGTATCTTATTTGTGTACACTTTTCTTGTTTTGTGAACTACTGTTTTATTCTTATACCTCAGAGAACACTTTAAACACATGGAAAAAGAAAGTTGCAGAACCTTCAGTTATAAGATTAATTCGGTTGCTTGAACTTCTTGATGAATGTATACCTGACATTTCTTTTAAGAAGCTGACATTTCATTTTGTGCCTCACTGAGCTTGCTTTCCATGGCACATAGTTATAATAGTTCTTTACATGTTCTTTTTTTTTTTTAAGTTATATCATGAATTGATGAAAATAATCAGAAACAAAATTAGAGAACCATGTTGAGACCCTGCCTTTTCTCCTTGGTAGGCATTAATCCCCAAGAGGGGACTCTTTTAAAGAAGTGGTTTTAGAGAAGTGTATTTCCTCTTGTGAGTAGCATCGTTTGTGAAATATTTATTACTACTCTTAATATGTTTGCATGAACTTGAGATGAAAATACTACATTCGCCTAAGATAGTAGAAGAGGGACTAGTAGCTGGTGATGGTATGAAGGAACTCTATGTTAAGAATGGAAGGAAATTTTAACATTATTTTGACATGATGTGTGAATGATTATGAATTTTAATTATTATTTTAATTAAAAAAGAAAACTATTTATTATCCATGGCCACTATCAAAGGATCCTGAAGGCACAGTCATGGGTTTCTTTACCCCTGATACCATCCTTTTTTTTTCCTATGTTACCAGAAGCTATAATTGAATTTTGGGTATTATTGATTTTAGGGAATGTTTCCTCATTTTGCAGGCATTCTTTATCTATTTTTGTCCTGTGCTACAGCTAATGAATGGTAATATGCTTTGTGAAGAGAAATTACTAGAAATCATGTTAGTGTATCTAGAACAATCACTAAAATGTCTCACTAAATGAGTTTTGTCAGAAGAGAACTATGATAAATATGTTTGCATAGAAATCTAGATGACATACTTTAAAAGCAATAAGCAAGGCATAAATCAGTGCTGGCGTCTTTTGAACATTTCAATGATGTAAATTGAATGAATAAATAAGACGGTATGGGGGAAGTTTCACTGTTATTTTTTATCTGTTGTTTAGCTATCAGAACCTTGACAGGAATAGGTTAGAATATCATGTCAGATTTCTAATGTGAAAGGCTCACTTATAATCCAATAGCTTGCCAAATTAAAGGTAATTGTGACAGCATGTTACAGGAGTGAGGGTGCAAACAAAGAACAGGATACACTCTGTCATCACCTGCCTATCACTCAATCTTGACCTTTTCTTCTTAAAGTTCCCATCATAGTAATAGCATCAATAGCAGTAATCCCCACCACCGTGGGACAACTCCTAACATTGAGTACTAACGACATAGGTACTCTGCTAAGCACTATCTGATCCTCTCAGCTGTACCTATAAGGTAGATATTATTATTATCCCTATTTGATAGATGAGGAAGGTTTTTAGTTTAGAGAAAGCCAGTTTTATTGGCCCAAAGTCACATAGCTAGCAAGTAAGTGGCAGAGTTGAAGCCTTGGTCTGGATTCTCTGACTGGGGACCCATAGCATCCCCCGTTGTGTTCTGCAGCTTCTTGAGGAAGAAGCAGAGATTATATGCAAGCCCAAAAGAGGAGTACATGATATTTCTTCCCATCCAGGGTCACTGTGAATCTATAGTTAGATCATGAAGAACTCTTCTTTGACTGCTTCCTGAATTAATACATTGCTATTCTTTGTAATGCTTTTTTTTACTGAAATACTTTAATCATACAAAAAAGTATAAAATATAAAAAATAATACCACCCTCACAATATGTCCAACTCCCCGCTTTGTTAGGACTTCCTTTGTTATATTTGCGTCTGATCTTTTTTTAAAAAAGCAAGCATTTTCATTTAGTATAATTTAAATAAAAAAGCTCTTTACTTATGAAACAGAAATTCTAAACTTTGACTTTGCCATATGGATGTAACTTGAAATGAATTTTAAAAGCTTCCTGAACAAAGTCCTGTGAACTTCAAGTATTTTATTTACAACAAAGATCTTTGGAGTCAGTAAAGTTCAGGATCATAATTGAAGAATGTTCTGTATTTACAGCTATTTACTTTCAACGCTCATCAGAGAATAATAACTACTTTAGTTTTCTGAAGTGGTGGCATTACTGATTTCTTAGTAACCTTGATTTCCTATTTATGTTTTTTCTTCTCTTCCAGCACAAAAGCTGTGAGCCGCTTTCACTCTCCTTTTATTGTAGAAAATTACAGACATCTGAATCAGCTCCGGGAGCAGCTAGTCCTTGACTGCAGTGCTGAATGGCTTGATTTTCTAGAGTGAGTTTACAATGAAAAATATAATCTGACTTTTTGCTATGAGAAATAGACCGGAAAATCTTTCCATCAAAAAGAAAAGTAGAGATTACTGCTTGTGACCTGCCATAAAATAGTTGAGTACATGTGTTCTCTGATTTTATTTTTAATCCTTTGAAATGTAAGCTCATTTTAGTCTTTAGTAAGAAACCAAATATACTTTATTGTTACTGTACTAACATTTTGTTGCTAAGAATGTTTAGTAGTGTCACTTTGAAATTCTACCTTGGACTTTGTTTACTTTTCTTATATAAAGGCTTAACATTTTCAGAGTTGGACAAGTATGGGTTAGTTATTTTGTTTTTATCATTGCCATTTAAATTTTTTCTTATATTTTTACATCCTTTACATTTTCCTTTACATTTTTACATCCTTTACAATTTACTTTGTAATTTGAAAAATTTTACATCTGTGGGAAAATTGAAATGAAGATCTATATACCCTTCACCTAGGTTTATCAAGTGTTAACATTTTGCTGTTTGTTTTATATCTCTCTCATACACTTTTTTTTCTGAAACGTTTTAAAGTAAGTTTTAGACAGTGTAATACTTCACACCTAAATACTTAAGCATACATCTTCTAAAAATAAGGACATTTTGCTTTGTAATCTTACATCATACCTAAGAAAAATTAATATTAATTTAAGAAATATTGAATTGCCTCAATTCCCCCTCCCCCCATATTTAATTTTTTAATTTTTTTTATTGAAGTAGAGTTGATTTACAATGCTGTGCCAATCTCTGCTTTACAGCAAAGTGACTCAGTTATACACATATAGACATTCTTTTTTCATATTCTTTTCCATTATGGTTTATCACAGGATATTGAATATAGTTCCCTGTGCTATACAGTAGAACGTTGTTGTTTATCCATTCTGTATATAATAGTTTACATCTGCTAATCCCACACTCCTAGTCCTTTCCTCCCCCACCTCCCTCCACCTTGGCAACAAGTCTGTTCTCTATGTCTGAGTCCTCCTCCCCCCATATTTAAAAAAACTTTCACATGTTGCATTTGGTTATTACGTTTCTTTAGTGTATTTGAATCTAGAATAGGCCCCTACCTTTTTGGATTTTTATGAGATTTTTTTTTTTGAAGAGTCCTGCCTTTGTCTTAAAGAATGTCTCATTCTGGATTTATTAATAGTCACGTGCTCATATTTAATTTAATTTGCTCGTGTGCTGGTAAATGGTTAACAGCCAACTCTCTGGAAGAGTAGTAGTGTGTGTTTGATTTCTGTTGTGTCACTACTCCCACCTGGACTGATTGCAATCTCCTGCTCGACTGGACTGGGAAGAGATGTGCGCAGCTGAGTTTCAAGAGTCAATGGGAGCTGGCTCCAGACCACCACGCATCTAAGCACTTTATATATGTTAGCTCATTATTCCTCACAAGAACCCTATTAGTGAAATATTATTATCATCCCCAATTTACAAATGAATAAAGTGAGATGCAGAAATGAAAAATAAGTTGCTCACAACAAGGGTAAGGATTGGAGCCCAGATGCAACCCAGGGTATCTGGTGGTAGGGTGTGTGCCCCTTACCATCAGGCTGTAGAGCCCGCCCATGGTGAATCAATCCATGGGCATCAGTCTACAGAGAAATCTTTCTCTTTAAAAACTTGAACAGTATTCAGTGAAGTCTTCAGGGAGCTTTATTCCATTTAAATTAACCAATCTGACAAGTGGAAAAAAAGGAACAAAAAAGATAATATGTGAGTTTTTAAAAGGTAATAAATTGGTACCATCTCTTGTTGCCCAGCAAAGTTTTGAATTATAGCATCAGAAAGAGATTTTGTTACCAACCAGGGTTTTTGGCCTCCTTAATCAATAGAAATTGATCAGAGGCCAGACAAGAAGTTCAGGCAAGGCTTTATTGGGGCCCCTGCTGCAGCAGGGGGGAATGAGAACAAGCAACAGGTTCCCTTGCTCGCTCAGGGGGGCCAAGCTCGTTCCTTATACGGGGTGAGGGTAGGGGTGTGGCCAGGGGTCAGGCCAGAGGGGTGGCTTAGGTGGCTTGCCCACCCCTTAGGTGATGTTGTGAGCTGGGGGCATGTGCAGCGCCCTGCTTTTTTGCTCCTGACCCCGTGCTTTTGCTTGGGGGTCTTCAAAAGTGACAGTTGGGTCTTTTGGTCTCTTTGTATCTTTTGTCCAGAATTTGCCCCAACTGGGCATGTGAGCAGTTAGTTTTAGTCCCATATAGTTCCTTTGTATTTTGTTGCTCGAGGAGAGGTTTGTCCAGGTGTATATCTTTGGAGAAGTGTGTGTGTGTGGGGGGGGTGTATCATCTCAAATATTAAGTGATTAATTCTGGATGATGAGGTTACTGGAAATTTAATGTACTTTGCAGATACATGATATCAAAAGTTTCTATAATATACATATATTACTTTCAAAATGAGAAGAATATGTTAAATTTTTTATCTTAAAAAAGAGTATTGGCTGAAATTTAGCTACAGCATTTGCAACTAGAGCCCCAACTTGAGAATAGCATTGATTGTTATGGCATACTGTTTACTGAGGTGCCAGATGGTGTGAATATAATGTCATTTCAGAAATGATTAACCTCATTGAACGTGACACCAGAGGACTGAATACCAGCTATACAAAGTGTTTTTGTCTCTTACTGAGATACTAACAGTTGTCCATTAGTCACATTACTTTTTATCAAAATATCGTAAGAAATCAAGGCTGTAAGAAAGTCTGTGAATAGAACCCTCTCTCAAAAAACTGTCTCTTCTTTTGTGTTCTAGAAGATGGGCTGTGGATATTGAATAATCTCAACTGCAAATTCTTTAAAAATTGAATTATAATACCTCTCACACAGTCATTTGATTATTTTAGAAATTCATTTGCAAATAAATATAAAATATCCTTTTTTATTAACTTCAGATATCATTGAGCAACATTTGATAGTAAACATATGATGGTAAACTGTCATAACAGCTTTAGAACACAAGTGTCTTAATCTTCTTCCCATGGACCCAGCAATATCTTTTGACCAGAAATTAAATCACAGTGTTTAGGTGAAGTTGTTTGGTGGCCTAGTGATAAGGTTGCACGTTGTTATGACATAAACCCAGTCTATCAGATTGTTATCTGAACTGCCCATTTTTCAGCTTGTCATTTTTCTAAGTATGAATGACCTCTTTGAAATTTGGCGAAGTGTAGCAAATAGACAAAGACTGAGAAGTCAAACAAGGCTTCTTAAGAATTATGAAGTTATGATTGTGATGTTTAAGGTTTATGATAGTTTTAAAATTTTTTTCACATGCCTTATTTATATAATTGACATGAAAAAGAACATTGTCGTCCATATCAAAATAATTACCTTCTCTCTCCTGCCTTTTTTGTTGTTAAACTGAAATGGTACTGACTGAGAGTTATGTTACTCATTTCAATCCCGGAAGTTAGAAGATCATCAGGGACAGTTACCCTCAACCTAAGGCTGTTGGGTAGTGGCAAATTAGGGTTTTAGTAGCCTGGACAGGACTTGAGAAGAATGGAGTGAGAGTAGGAAAAAATTGGCTGCTTTTTTTTTTTTTAAGTGCCACAGGTACTTTGACACTCAGATCCAGAGAGGCAAGAGCAGAAACATCAAATGTGGCTGCTCTCTGGCAAACGAGAGTGCCAGGATAGGAAGACCAGATGGGTCAGTAATTAGAATTAGGGACAGAATCAGCCACAGTCCGAGGGATAGATGAGTGGTCAGATCTAAAATTGAAGCCAGACCAGAAATGACAAGGCCTGATCACTGGGCAACCACTCAGGGGTTTTACATCTGTGCATCACGTGGCATCTTCAAAACTGAGTTTTTTTTGTTTGTTTTTTGCGGTACGCGGGCCTCTCACTGCTGTGGCCTCTCCCGTTGTGGAGCAGAGTCTCCGGACGTGCAGGCTCAGCGGCCATGGCTTACGGGCCCAGCTGCTCTGCAGCATGTGGGATCTTCCCAGACCGGGGCACGAACCCGTGTCCCCTGCTTTGGCAGGTGGACTCTCAACCACTGCGCCACCAGGGAAGCCCAAGAGTCATTTTTAAGGTGACAACTTGGTGCTCCTGCCTGATGGCAGGGGCCAGTCTCCTTTGTGTTCGGGATTTTGCACAGACTCTTAATACTGTTAGTGGGATTCATGTTGTTTGTTTTGATTAACTTTAATTCAGGGAGAAATAGATAAATTGTATTCATTATGCTCCATCTACTCAAAGAAGTTTAAAATATACTGTAATGTAAAAATATATTTTTCAGTTCACAAATTTTTCAATTCACAAAGTTAATGCAGAAATAAAACGATATTTAAAGTGTTGTTTCTAGTATCTGAAAAAGTCATTTACATAGAATAGATTAGTCTAATATTAATAAAAAATCAGAAACTACAGATTCTAAAAAATCAATACAGTATTATAGTAATAACTAATCACATAGTAGCTTAATCTGGATGTCATTTTCAAGCTAGGAAGCACTCTAAAAACCTTTGGATTTAAGAAGCAAACAGACTAAATCTCTAAGTTTCTGAAACCCACAGTACAATACAGAAATATTTTTTAGGAGAAGCATTCAGCATAACAGTCATCACTTTTGTGGGGATCTTCTTTAAAAGGGTATAAGGAACTCCTGTGACAAGAGATAATGGGATAATCTAAGCAAAAAAAAAAAACAAAGAGAAGGAAACCCCCTGGATACATTCCTATATTTTTTCTTGAATAAGTCTTTCAGTAAAGTCTTTTAAGCTTTTAGATCACCAGCTACTTAACTGGCCAAAGATTTGAGTCAGTGGCAGACCTATCGAAAAACAAGTCTAAGGTTTAATTTCTATATGAATTATTAATAAGACAACTGATGGTTACTGAAAAAAAGTACCTTTCTTCTTGCTTGCCTTCAATGAAATTTATTACAGTGTCAACTCTATGGGCTAGATGTTAAATAAGTAAATCAGATGGATTTGGGCTCTACCATCGAGAAGTTTCCAGTCATTGTGAGAGAAAGATAATAAGACTGTTAATTCCTAGTGTGGATGATGCTGTGAAGGAGAAGCACAAAGGGAGGCTGACCCATTTGGCTAGTTCATGACATTATTTAAGCTAAATGAAAATGATCACTACATTAGTGTTCATTAGGTCTGAGTTGAAGTGTCATGGTCAGATGAAATGTGCAATAAGGTATTCATAGTAGACATCTTTTGTATAGAAGCTTTTAAATATATATATTTCTTTCCAAGTGAAAGAAAAAGAAGCCTCAATCAAGTTATTAAACAGAAAAGTAGTTCACTGTAATTTCCACCTTTCTTAACTGCTAGGTATGCCAGGTTATTTTGTTTATGCTCATCTTAGCTAACAAAGTGCTTACTTATTGTGCAGCTTTTACAGGTCTAAGAAATCAATTTGCTCACCTTTTTGTTGTTGTTTCTGTAGGAACTTCAGTGAACATTATCACTCCTTGTGTAAAGCAGTACATCACCTAGCAACTGTTGACTGCATTTTCTCCCTGGCCAAGGTCGCTAAGCAAGGAGATTACTGCAGGTGATGTGTTTTTTCATTTCTCCCCTTTTCCAGTGCTTTAGAACAGATAGAATTATTCAATTAATTTCAGTGTTTTTATTGTAAGGTATTAAAATTACTCAAATATGTTGAACTCTTGGGAAAGCTGAATGTCATACACATATAGCTTGATTTAAAATTAAGAAATTCCTTTCTTGCTGTACCATTGAGTGCAGTGAAAGCAGATGTTCACTATAACTAGAGGGGAATGTTACATATTTCAATTTTTAGGTTTATGTGGGTGACATTTTCATAAAGGAGCAATCCTTTCATTTGTTAGCGTTCACTGGAACACTTTATGTTTAACTTTATAATTATAAAAGTCTCATTTAAATATCATCTAAATCAGATATGGGGGAGAGTTAAGGTATGATTCATTTTGAGGCAAATTGCACTCAGTTGCTCTTCCTGAAGTCCAAATCTCAAGCTTCAGCTAAATCTTTGACTCAGTGCTCTATCCTCTAGGCCCACTGGGGCACAAGGGTCCTGCTTTCCCGACCCACTGGGGTGGCAGTCCTGTTCCTGTAGATTTGCTTGGCAAAGGTTGGGCCCCTAGGGCTCCAGGCCACCTAGCTCCCACAGTGGCTCTGTGCCTGGGCCCTACCCATGAGGTAGGTCTCTTTGGTGGCCCCACTTCTGCTGGTGCTCTGTGCCTGAGCTCCCTCTGGCAGCTGCCCCAGACCGGAAATTTGCACTGGTGGCTCTCTGTGACTCCTGTGGGCATTGCCCTATTGGGGGCTCTCTGGGGTCTCTTTTATAAGAATACTAGCCCATTCTTGAGGGTTCTGCCCTTATGACCTAATCATCTCTTAGGCATAGTTTTGAATACCAGCCTGGTTTTTGACAACTGACTTTAAACAAGTTTCGTAACCTGTCTGATCCTCAGTTTCTGCATTGACAAAATAATACCTGCCTCTTAGAAATGTTGTGCAAATTAAATGTGATAAAGACATTATGAAACTTCTAAGCAGGACCAGGTAGATGATAAACACTTAATAAACAGCAATTGTTACTCACAGATATTTATTCAAAAATCAGAAAGAATTAAGTATTGTAAAAGTTTTTTGTCTTTAATAAAAAATATCTGAGCCTAAGGGGTTTTAGTATGTTTCATACCTATAATAATTTATTTTTTAAAAATCATTTTTCATTTTCTATCAATTCGCAATCTTGTCTGTCTCTTTGAACATGGTAAGCATAGTTATCTTAAAGTCTGTGTCTGATGATTCGAATATCTGTAGTCCTTGTGGGCCTGTTTCTATTGTCTGTTGTTTCTGTTCATTTTCATTCATGTATCTCCTTGAATGCCTGGTTGTTTTGATTATCTTGTAGGCATTGTATTTGCAAAATCATTTGTAGAAATAATTTGATGTTGTATTTCTTCTGAAAGAGTCACATCTCAATACACTAATGTTCTGGCATCACTTAGTCCTTATCAGGGCTTGAGGTGATTCAGAGATTCAAAGGCTCAAATATTCAAAGGTTCAAAGATTCAGAATCTGCATTTCTCATTTCATATGCACTCTTATGCCTGATGTGCAGCCTTTGGTATCTCAATCCAGATTAAAGCTGTCCATAGTGCTCAGTGTCAGCCATTCCCTCAGTAATTGGCAAACAGTCTCCCTGACCCTCAGTTCTACCCCAGATCCTGCCCTGGTAATTCCTTGCTGTCCTGTTAGTTGTCAGGAGCCTTCAAGTAACTGTTTTCTGTACTTTATCCAACCTCTTACTTGTCCTCAGTAGGATTGTTCCAAACCACCTCTTCTATCAGTAAGACAATTTCAGGAAATGTTGCACACTAAAATACTATTCTAATTGGATACTATATATTTTATATTAAGAAAAATCCACCTGAAAAATTTAAATGAAAAATCATGCCATAACCTTTAAGTAATATACTCAGTTTCTTTTTTAGCAGCCATAAAATTGAGTGTAAATAGCCATGAAATAGGAAACGTTTATCTAAAATACCTTTTAAACTAGTACTTAAGTATCTGAAGTTTATACTTTTTTCCTTAGATTTCCAACTTGTTTAAAGATTTCAGTGCGTCTGAGTTATTGCAGTTAAAATTGATTATTTGGCTTCATAATTACAGTCTCTTCTTTCTAAATGCTATTAGGACACTTTATTCACTAGAGTCTAAATCTTTATGCAGACGTTCTTATTCTAGGTCTTTCTATCCAATTCGTATTCTGGACATTATACTGTTTTATTAATATGGATTATGTTTTGTTTCTCTGGGGCATTTAAAGGAGAATGATGCAATTTTAAAAATATAAAATAAGTAAATTTGTTCAAGTTCAATGTTTCATTCTTTTCAGGCAGAATCCAGATTTTCTCAGTTCTTTCTCTTCAGTGCCACAAAATGCCCTCAACATGATTTTCATATCTTTCTTGCTGTAACTGTCCTGTCCTAGTATATCATCTCAGCTCTCTGAATAATCATTTGCTTCTTACTATACCAGGAAGTGTTTTGTCATTATGTAATTTTGATAGTAACAGAATAAGTCAGTGTAGATTTTAGAGCAGAAAAAGTCAAATTTTTATTTTAAAGTGAAAACCTTCCTGGGAAATCATATCAATGCCATGAATGTATGTTGATTTCACTTGTCAGAGCACTTAGAATTTTATTTTAAAACTGATATCGCTTACAGTTGGTTTCATCTTTTTTCTTTTACAGTAGATTCATAACCCATTTAGGTAAAAATTGTATTTTAAAATTATACCCTAAAATTCAAAAACTGTCCTTTTCTTGTAATTTTAAATGTCCTTTTCCAAAGGATGATTTCGAATTGTTTACTCAGAAGATACTTTAGTGACTTTCTTTGAGACATGTGAGTGTACATTCTTGGGGTTTTGTTAGCCAGATATATTTAAGAAGAATTTAAGTATTTATTTAGGAAAGTAGTATTTCTTGGTGTTTTGAGTAAGTTCAGAAATGTGCTTATATGTGAAAGTTCTGAGTCTAAGCACTTGAGGAGGTCATTGATAGTATGTTAAGATGAAAAAGACCAGCAAGTGGCCAAGAAATTGATGAAAAGACGTTCAACCTTAGGAATCAGTGATTGCAAATTAAAGCAATGAGGTCACACTGTTAAAAATTAGAAAGTTTGATAATACCAACTTTAGATAAGGGTATGAAAAGTCACCTTTCATATCCTGCTGGTAGGAGGGTAAATTGATACAGGTATCTCATCTGTTAACAAATATGCATACCCTATGATTTGGAAATTCTGCTTCAGGAATTTCCTCTGGCTTAGAGAAACACTTGGAAATATGCACATGCACACGTATATATGGGTGTTCACTGGAGCATTGTTTATAACAGTGAAAATCTAGGCAGTCTAAATGTTCAACAGTGGAGAACAGCTAACTTATTATTCAGCACCTTCCAAAGAATGCTGAAGTTCTGACAAGAAATGATCTGTAATCTTCTGTATTCCATGCCGTCAGGGTTCACTGGACCTAATTTCAGCTTAGAGTTCTTTAAAGGTCTTCCAAAGAACAAAGAGACAATTTACCTTTTTTTTTTTTTTTTTAAGGAGAATAAAATTTATTCTGTCTTGCGTTTACCACATGGGTCCATTGGACCCTTTTATAAATCAAAGATGCATTTTGGGATCTTTAATGATTTTTATCTTGCTTATGTCTGGAATGCTTTACTATTTCATCATCCTAGGAATGATTTCATCACTGTTTATCAATTTTTCCCAGTATGCTGTAAAAGTCTAAAATAAGAAGGAAGCTGGAGAATGATGATGCAAAATTAAGATAGAAATCACTGTCACATCATTCTTCATTTTTCTCATTGTATTTTCCGAAGAGTTACATCATCTTTCAAGAAGGTATATAAGAAGACTGGAGATGCCACTCTTGTAGTTTGCTTCTAACTTTGAGTGAACACAGTTGAGAACTCAGAATTTTTCATTTCTCACCCATAATAGCAAAGAAAAAAAAACTGATGGGAGACATTTCATTGTTACTGGGTTATTCACAAGATGAATGTGAAGGGAAAGATAGCAGTGCTCTAGATACTAATGATGGTGGTGAAATTTCTGGTGTAAACAAAATCTCAGATTATGAGTGTGTGGATAATAATATCCTAGGTGCACTGTCTCCAACTCAAGAATTAGTGTGTGACTAATTTATTTGTGAGGGCAAAATGAAATGTAGTGTTCTTATCCAGTTTGTTATTCCAAAGGAAACACACAGCATGCAATACTTAGTGACAAGAAACGGGACCATCCTGTTTTGCTAAAAGGACGTCTGGGAGTATTCTTTTATGATATTTGTGCGCTAAAATTTACTTGATGCTGTTTGCTGGTGGATAGGTGCTGAAGGCAGGAGATTGAAAGAAAATCGATGATATAAAATAAAAATACTCATTTGATTGATTATTCTAATTGTATTTATAAACGTAAGTGCAAAAATGTTTTGCAGTTATGGAACAAAGAAGATGGCTTGTCTTCTCTTTTACAAAATTATGAGCTTTAAAGGATTTCAAAAAATTCTTCAAACATTGCATTTTTGTTGCAAGTGATAAAAGAATCAGAAATAATGATAAGCTAAAACCTATTAGAAATGTATTGAAATCTAGAATTAGTATTTATAAATGAATATGGTCCAGGTGCATGCATGACAGCTTATGAACAGTTATTTACATTCACAGTGTGTTGCCCATTCCAGGTATATATGCCTTCAAAACCAGGAAAATATAGAATAAAAATTTGAGATTTGCTGTATTTGAATTCTTACTAAAATTTGTCATGATTTTTTTCACTATTCTTTTATTTGCAGTTCTACAAATTACTTGTAAAATGACTTAGAAATATTTAAAAAAGAAATGAAAGAGTCCATTGGACCCATATGGTAAATGGTGAAATCTGCCTTTTATATGTATTGAGGAATATTAAGGGGGAAAAAAAGTAGTTGTGGAATGATATCTTACAGTATGATTCTTTTTTTTTTTTTTAAGAAGAAATCACAAAGCAATACAATGAGTGTATATAAATTTAAATGCAGAGAAGAAGGTTGGAAAGAGTAGACTCCAAACTGCTCTCAGTGGTAACCTCTGGGGAGGAGACTGAGAGAAGGACAGTGCTCACAAGAGCTTGGATAGATAAAGCTATAGATAAAAAGAGAAAGATAAAACCTTAAAAAATAAAACCAGCAAAGCAAACAAACATTTTTTTATATCAAAAAAAGTGAAAGATACTAAAGACCATATAAAGATGTTTTAATTAAACAGAATATGAAAATTTTAGGTCCTTCTGTTCCCAAGTCCAACACACAATTTTTATTAATGTAATAATTAAATCTAGAAATAATTTTGCCTGATTTTCTTTATTTTGCTTATTACTAAAAATGATTTAAGTAGCAATAATCTGAACTGTAAATTTTATTAATGAAAATATTTTAGAGAATAGTAGAAAAATAAAAAGGATCTTATAAAGGTAGTTACAGAGCATTCATAAGACTCTGCTAAAGTTTGTGCCTCAGAGCACTATAATTATAGTAATTGTCTTTCCAATTCTGATTCCACAGTTGAAATTTAACTTTTATACTCAAAGACTTATTCTGAACATATGTTCTTAAAGTCCATGTTTAAGGTTTTGTTGTGTGTCTGACAGACTGGGCACAAAAATTTTCATGCTCTTAGAGATTTTTTTAAAGCCTGTTTCGTTGCCTTGTAAATTGAAACATGCTTCTTTTCGCAGACCAACTCTACAAGAAGAAAGGAAAATCATAATAAAAAATGGCCGGCACCCTGTGATTGACGTGCTGCTGGGAGAACAGGACCAGTATGTTCCCAATAGTACAAATTTGTTGGTAAGTACCATATCATCGCCAAAAATAAGTGAAAGATGGTAACACTAATCTCAAACTTTTAAATACCAAATAATGTTTTAAAAATTTACACAAGTTTTACCTTAGGCTTTAAATCAACTAATCCTTGGCTGTAGTTTTATATTCACCACCAACTATGGAATCAGTGCTATTTCCAATGAAAGACTATCTATAGAGGGAACAATTTAGCAACTAGAGGATTAGCCTTAATTAGTTATCCTTGGTAATCCAGGGAAAATATTTTATATGAATAAATGCTCGCAGATGCTAATGGGGTAGAATCATACCATGGTTTTGCAGATTCCTGTTGGTGTATAGTATAGGCTTTGTCTTGTGCTCTACTGTTTTCAAACATTCTGTTAAAGAATCACAGATGCTTCAGCTGATTTCAGTGATAAGAATTTTTGTTATATGGGCTAGAGTTCTCTTATACTACATTAATGATTTAAAATACTTATTCATTTAACACATACTTACTGAGTTCCTATTTAGCCCCAGGTAGTGAAGCAGAGTATTAGGACAGAGAGTGGGAAGCAAGACAGAAATATCCCTGCCCTTAGAGAGCTGGTGGTCTAGCAGAGAAGATAGTTTATTACAATACAGCTTGGTCAGGCTAGGGTACAGGAGACCAGGTGTCATGGAGCACGTAGCAGGTTGACCTAACCCAATGTAGGGGGAGCATTTGCGAAGTTTCCCAGGGATGAAATATTGACTGAAGAGAGTGAGTCACTGCAGGCCAGGGAAATGGAGAGGAGTATTCCAGGTCAGAAACCAGCATGGTAGAGTCTGGGAGTGAGACAGGGTGGGTTCAGGGAACTGAAAGATGTTGAGGAAGGTTGGGACATAGAGTGTAAAGAAAAAAGTGTCAGAAATAAGGAAGAGGCCAATTTGTTTAAAGCCATGTTAAGGAATTTAGATTTTTTTTTCCCTAAAGGATTGAGAATACTAGCAAGAGAATGATTAAAGCTGGGGAAAAAAGTGAACTCTGTGTGTGTGTGTGTTAGTGTGTTACATAGAATTACATTGTCAAAGATAAACAGAGCTGTATACTACCACACACTAATTAAAGTGGCAAGGGTGGTTTTATTCAGTAATATTATTGCATAGGGAAAAGAGTCCAGCTTGAACTGAATTCAACTTCAGTTTGTACAGAGGTGACTGGGTGTCTTAAAGGGAGAATGAGGGAGTAGGGAGGAGTGGTGGGCGTGGGCAGGTTCAAGGAAGTGGGAGCAGAAAAATTGAGAAAGGGGTTTGGTTAGTGTGAGACCCTTCTGGGTTTATTAACTGGCAACTGTTGCTAATACCCTCCCACAGGGACTGAGAAGGACAGTGAGAGTTATCTCCACGAATGTGTGCATTTCAATGAATGGTTGCATTTCAATGTTTGCATTTCACGCAGTTCTAGGTGGTAGAAGATTTACCTCTTAGAGGGGCAGAGAAAGGATTTATAATTGCAAGCTTTCTGAAGTAACTGCTCTAAGAGAAGGTTCGGGGTCTATCTGCCTATCACCACGTTTTGGCTGGAACAAGTATAAATTCTCTCTTGGCAGTGTTGTGCTTTTGTAGGCAGGCACTTTAAGGGGGACTGGGGTCATCCCAAGAATGCAGCCTTGAGCAGTTAGAAGCTCTGCTGGCTTTTGTTCTGGTCTCTTAGTGGGGAGGGTAAATGAAGTCATTTGTGCTGAGAGGGTTGCAGTTGTTATAGGCCAAGGTTGGGGCCTAGTCAAGAAGAGGGCTCAGAAGAGCCTGACTAGAATTTAGTCAAGGAGGGAGTCTTTGTCAACACAGAGGAAAATTATCTGGTGATGAGATGAAAGATTAATATGTAGGGAATAGTTAAGTGAGAGAGATTGTATCAGAGAATGAGATGCGTGACTTCAAGATTTCAGAGGTAGTGTTCTGGGTGAGGGCAAGATCCTAGGTATGGCCATGGAAGGTGAGTAGCGGAAGTGGAGAAGGTCTTCGGAGATGAGGAGATCAGGGAACAGCATTTGAGAAAAAGGCAACCATATGCACATTGAAATCATCTAAAACAACAGGATTTGTAGTGGAAGGTGAAGGTGGTCCAGGTGTCAGAGATTGTGAGGGATGGAGACTGGTGACCTGGAGGTAGATGTAGATGCCTGTGGTGAAGACAAGTAGAGATGGTAAAGCCCTGAGGAAGCAGATATGGGAGAACGTTTGAACCCTGAGATACATGTGACAGGATGTGGCAAAAAACTCATCCTTGAAATGAGAGGACTGCAGGGGAATAACAGCCAGCTCTCAGTCTAAGTCAACGTATGAAGGAAATGTTAAGCAAGGAAGTTAGAAACATAGAAGTATTGGGGAATTTTTCAGAGGATAGTGAGAAAATTGAAATGTAGGGGAGCAGTTGGAAATTAGGTCAGAGAAAGGAAGCCCAGGAGAGCAAGGGAGTTGGGAATATCACAGAGTATTCCATCTCGGGCTGTGAGCAAGGGTGACAGAGATGTGAGCCTGGTGAATTTGGTTGACCACAAGGGTGGTGAGTAAAAGGAATTGCTTTGAATTACATCAAGTTTAACGATACATTCTGATATTGCCGACTAAAAAAATGCATGCACAGTGTGAGAGCTGTGAGTTGAGTTTTATGTGGGACAAAATGAGGAGTTTAGCCTGGGAGACAGCATTTCAGATAGCTCTGAGAAACTGCTCCAAAGAGGTAGGGGGAATGTCAGTGTTACATATGACTTTAGTGAAGGGGGTGCGTGCAGTCAAGTGCACGTTTTCGCGGAGGCTTGCTGCTAGTCACGAGGAGCAGATGTCACCATTAATGATTTTAGTGCTTTTCTAGATATGAGGAGATGCAAGAATTGGGCTCAAAATGTCCTCCTGAAAACATCTAACTATCTGAAGGCCTGTTCTGCCAGTTTTTCCCAGAGCACAGAGTGCCTTATTCCTGATCTCCACCCTGAAATCCTTCCAGGGTGTGTTGAAGGTCAGTGGTTGCAGCGGTTTGTGACTTAGTCCTTGTAGAGGCAGATGGCAAGTGGCAGTTTTTCGTTGGCAGTATCATCCAAAGACTTGTAGGAGTACATAACCAGATCCCCAGTGTCTGTAAACATGTTTATTCTCATTAGGGAATTTGTAAGTTACTTAATTTATCAAACCAACTTAATAAGTACTTGGAAGTACTTATTACAGGGAGTCTCTGTGAACATAAGAATTTCTTTTTCAGTTTCCATAATACCAGTAGGGTGTAACTTTTCTTGAGAAAGTAATAGAGTTGTACCATATAGTACCTTGGTTTACTTATAGATCACTTGAAACATCATTTCCTGTTGTTATTCCTATCCCCCAAAACACCAATCAAGTATGTTATTCTTGACATTGAATTTGTTTTTTCCTTTTTTATTCTTTTTTCCCCTGTCTTTTAAGTAATGTATTACACTATTTAAAAAAGCAAGATTTGAGAAACTAAATTAGCCTAATTACAGGAATGTTTCAAAGAAACGTTGAACTCTTACTTTTAAAATTTTACAAAATAAGTGGAGTGATTTATTCCAGCAAGCACCTCAGAATATTCCAGAATATTCATTTCTTTTACATATGCTTTTTCTAACTTGAGTAGGAGTTGATATAGAACTGTTGCTATGGTGAAGTGCATTCTTTTTTGCAGGGTATAAATTTCTATATAGGGATACTGTTGAAAAAGAACTTACTATGTAAAACTCAATTTTAAATATTTTATAGGTGTTAATTATAAAATACACTCTGAAAATAATTTCCTGAAAGTCAAGTGGCATCGTTGCTTTTGATAGTCATGTAATTTTAAGAAATGGTCTTTTGCACATGTAATTATACTTTTCTGGATTCTGTATTATATGAACTCATTGTAATGCTTCTAAACAAGCCAACTTACTGCCCGCTTTTCCTCAACCGGTTTTAAGAATACTCATTTTTTTTCACATCTCACAATCTTGCATTGATTTATGAATTTTTTACTAGCATTGTTTTATGAATATTTTATTCTTACAGATTTTGACACAGTTACTTTGTGTCAATATTATGCTTGATTTCGGGCTTACAAAGAAGAGACACAATACCTCTCTAATTTGGTGGGAGATAGATCCAATTAAATTAACACTGATGGAGTACTTATAAAGGCTATGAGGGAACTAACGGATTATCCAGTAGAAAAATTGGCAACAGGCTTCAACAGGCATTTCAAAGTAGAGGATATCTGAATGGTCAATAAACAAACTAACATTTTTTTTTTAACCTGCTACATTGGGTTTTCTGGCAGGAATGTAACAAAGAATCAAATAGAAAGGAACTGTGACTTTGAGGTGCTTGTGGGACATTTGGTGGAGATCCCAATGTGAAGGTGGATATAAAAGCCAGGTGAGAGGGCTGAGCTGGAGTTAGGGATTTAAGAATCATCACGATGCATGTACAGGGAGTTTAGATTCTGGGTCTGTCACTCAGAGAGATTGTATAAAAATGTAAAGAAGGCTGAGGAAAAAGCCCTCTCAGGCATGACATAGAAGAGTCATTTCACTGAAAGTGGGTTTAGCTGAAGAGAATTTTTCAAGTATCTTTTAAATATATCCCTACCTAATTTTTAGCATTCAGTTATTGTTTCATCTGAACATCAAAAAAAATAGAAATACAAAAAATTAAAAAAAACAAGGTGCTATTGTATATTCCTTTTTATCCTTTAAGACCTGGCTCTGCCTCCTCTTCTAGGAAACCTTGTTTGACTTCTGCAAGCATAATTGAAAGGAATACGCTTTTAAACCCTCCCTTTTTGGTTCCCATCCCTGACTCATTACATAATCTGAGTATTTGTAGACTTAGCAGCCACTGAATCTGCCCACCTCCAGTTTATTCTCCACTCTGCAGCCACAGGGCTTTTCCTAACCTGTCATATCACTCCCTTATTTGAATTAATGCTTAAAATTCCAGTCGTATAGTTCCCAACGTACTGCGCCACTAAGGGACTTGGCAGATGGTCTTCC